TTTTTATTATAATCTGTACATAATAATAATAATAATTATTATTATTATCGCGAATTATCAAACACATCTAAAAGGCGTTGAGATAAAAAGGAAACAATGAGGAATGTAGAAAAGTATGAACTAAAATAAATCAGGGCTTATGAAAATGAATCAATCATTTATACAACGCCTCTTGCTTTTAATCCCTGTGTTGGAGAAAGTTATGTTGCTAACGAAGACGTAGATACCATGAAAATCGATAGAGAACAATGCGATCTAAGTTGGTGATTGCCATTTGAAGGGGAAGACATTAAACTACCCGGATGACTACTCCTGCGCCACGTTCCAAGACGTTAAGCCCCGACCTGTAAGACTAGAGTCGTTTAAAGTATGTCTGGATGGTGGGATGAAACAGAGGCTGTTGGATAATGCTATTGATTGTCTGGAATTACGTCAATGTTGCCCCCAAACCGTTTTCTAGTTTTTAGCATAATGTTGACATTGCATTGACTGTTTCACAATGTGCGTTTGCTTTCGCCATGTCCCCACACTGACACCCCTAAAACGCAGCATGTCGAAGACACATCAACAAATAGTGAACATGAAAATTTCAACATGAACATATAGTAGATATATCAACATAAAGTAGACGTATCAACCTATTGTAGACATAAAGTTAGATATAGCAACATATAGTAGACATATAGTAGATGAATCAGCCTATTGTAGACACATAGTAGAGGTTTCAATCTATAGTTATCATATAGTAGGCGTTTCAATCTATAGTAGACATATTGTAGATGAATCAACCTATACTAGACATATTGGTTAATCAGCCTATTGACATGTAACAGGGGTACAAACGTCAGAGTAGACGCATGTACGTCAACTGTACAATTCGTACATTGTCATTCACAGACCTGGGTCATTGTACATCACACACTTGGGACGTTGTAATCTGATACTTGGGACATTGTACATCACACACCTGGGACATTGTACATCACACACTTGGGACATTGTACATCACACACCTGGGACATTGTACATCACACACTTGGGACATTGTACATCACACACCTGGGACATTGTACATCACACACTTGGGACATTGTACATCACACACTTGGGACATTGTACATCACACACTTGGGACATTGTACTTCACACACTTGGGACATTGTACATCACACACTTGGGACATTGTACCTTACAGCACTCGGACTTTGTACATCTGGTACTTGGGACATTGTACATCACACACTTGGGACATTGTACTTCACACACCTGGGACATTGTACATCACACACTTGGGACATTGTACTTCACACACCTGGGACATTGTACATCACACACTTGGGACATTGTACATCACACACTTGGGACATTGTACATCACACACTTGGGACATTGTACATCACACACTTGGGACATTGTACATCACACACTTGGGACATTGTACATCACACACCTTGGACATTGTACATCACACATTTGGGACATTGTACATCTGATACTTGGGACATTGTACATCACACACTTGGGACATTGTACATCACACACTTGGGACATTGTACATCACACACTTGGGACATTGTATATCACACACCTGGGACATTGTACATCACACACTTGGGACATTGTACATCACACACTTGGGACATTGTACATCACACACTTGGGACATTGTACATCACACACCTGGGACATTGTACATCACACACTTGGGACGTTGTAATCTGATACTTGGGACATTGTACTTCACACACTTGGGACATTGTATATCACACACTTGGGACATTGTACATCACACACTTGGGACATTGTACTTCACACACTGGGGACATTGTACATCACACACTTGGGACATTGTACATCACACACTTGGGACATTGTACATCTGATACTTTGGACATTGTACATCACACACTTGGGACATTGTACATCTGATACTTCGGACATTGTACATCACACACTTGGGACATTGTACATCACACACTTGGGACATTGTACATCACACACTTGGGACATTGTACATCACACACTTGGGACATTGTACTTCACACACTTGGGACATTGTACATCACACACTTGGGACATTGTACATCACACACTTGGGACATTGTACCTTACAGCACTCGGACTTTGTACATCTGGTACTTGGGACATTGTACATCACACACTTGGGACATTGTACTTCACACACCTGGGACATTGTACATCACACACTTGGGACATTGTACTTCACACACCTGGGACATTGTACATCACACACTTGGGACATTGTACATCACACACTTGGGACATTGTACATCACACACTTGGGACATTGTACATCACACACTTGGGACATTGTACATCACACACTTGGGACATTGTACATCACACACCTTGGACATTGTACATCACACATTTGGGACATTGTACATCTGATACTTGGGACATTGTACATCACACACTTGGGACATTGTACATCACACACTTGGGACATTGTACATCACACACTTGGGACATTGTACATCACACACCTGGGACATTGTACATCACACACTTGGGACATTGTACATCACACACTTGGGACATTGTACATCACACACTTGGGACATTGTACATCACACACCTGGGACATTGTACATCACACACTTGGGACGTTGTAATCTGATACTTGGGACATTGTACTTCACACACTTGGGACATTGTATATCACACACTTGGGACATTGTACTTCACACACTTGGGACATTGTACATCACACACTTGGGACATTGTACATCACACACTTGGGACATTGTACATCTGATACTTTGGACATTGTACATCACACACTTGGGACATTGTACATCTGATACTTCGGACATTGTACATCACACACTTGGGACATTGTACATCACACACTTGGGACATCGTACATCTGATACTTGGGACATTGTACATCTGATACTTGGGACATTGTACATCTGATAGTTGGGACATTGTACATCACACACTTGGGACATTGTACATCTGATACTTGGGACAGTGTACATCACACACTTGGGACATTGTACATCTGATACTTGGGACAGTGTACATCACACACTTGGGACATTGTACTTCACACACTGGGGACATTGTACATCACACACTTGGGACATTGTACATCACACACTTGGGACATTGTACATCACACACTTGGGACATTGTACCTTACAGCACTCGGACTTTGTACATCTGATACTTGGGACATTGTACATCACACACTTGGGACATTGTACATCACACACTTGGGACATTGTACATCACACACTTGGGACATTGTACCTTACAGCACTCGGACTTTGTACATCTGATACTTGGGACATTGTACATCACACACTTGGGACATTGTACATCACACACTTGGGACATTGTACATCACACACTTGGGACATTGTACATCACACACCTGGGACATTGTACATCACACACTTGGGACATTGTACATCACACACTTGGGACATTGTACATCACACACCTGGGACATTGTACTTCACACACTTGGGACATTGTACATCACACACCTGGGACATTGTACTTCACACACTTGGGACATTGTACATCACACACCTGGGACATTGTACTTCACACACTTGGGACATTGTACATCACACACCTGGGACATTGTACATCACACACTTGTTACATTGTACATCACAGCACTCGGACATTGTACATCACACACTTGGTACATTGTACATCACAGCACTCGCACATTGTACATCACACACTTGGGACATTGTACATCACAGCACTGGGACATTGTACTTCACACACTTGGGACATTGTACATCACACACTTGGGACATTGTACATCACACACTTGGGACATTGTACATCCCACACTTGGGACATTGTACATCACACACCTTGGACATTGTACATCACACACTTGGGACATTGTACATCACACACTTGGGACATTGTACATCACACACTTGGGACATTGTACATCACACACCTGGGACATTGTACATCACACACTTGGTACATTGTACATCACAGCACTCGGACATTGTACATCACACACTTGGGACATTGTACATCACAGCACTGGGACATTGTACTTCACACACCTGGGACATTGTACATCACACACTTGGGACATTGTACATCACACACTTGGGACATTGTACATCACAGCACTGGGACATTGTACATCACAGCACTCGGACATTGTACATCACAGCACTCGGACATTGTACATCTGATACTCCGGACATTGAGCATTAAATACTTGGGACATCGTACATCTGATATTTTGGACATGGAACATTAAATACTTGGGACATTGTACATCACACACTTTGGACATTGTCCATCACAGCACTGGCACATTGTACATCACAGAACTGGGACATTGTACATCACACACTTGGGACATTGTACATCACACACCTGGTACATTGTACATCACACACTTGGGACATTGTACATCACAGCACTGGGACATTGTACATCACACACTTGGGACATTGTACATCACACACTTGGGACATTGTACATCTGATACTTGGGACATTGTACATCACACACTTGGGACATTGTACATCACACACTTGGGTCATTGTACATCACACACTTGGGACATTGTACATCACACACTTGGGACATTGTACATCACAGCACTGGGACATTGTACATCACAGCACTCGGACATTGTACATCTGATACTTGGGACATTGAGCATTAAATACTTGGGACATCGTACATCTGATACTTGGGACATTGAACATTAAATACTTGGGACATTGTACATCACACACTTGGTACATTGTACATCACAGCACTGGGACATTGTACATCACAGCACTCGGACATTGTACATCACAGCACTCGGACATTGTACTTCAAAGGGAACAGTTTCAACCAAGTTGTTTACAGTGAAGTTCGGTGTGCTTTTTTGGGCATAAAATAACCGCAGGGCTTGACAGAATTCCCAACTTGTGCATGTATCGCACATCAATCTATACGGAGCTGAAGGTGGCTGTAAGCATGGGATCCGGTTCCACTACCTCATCAAGTAGTGTGGCCGGCCATGTGATGTGTGGAAGGTTTGCCAGGACGTGTTGATGCCTGGGGCACGGACTGTCCACATCCAAGGCATCAATGGAGGGCACGCCTGACGTTGTCATCCAAGATGGTTTCAATACTTTGATATATTTATTACAATGACTAGATGACGACATGAGACTAGAGACTACCTTATTCACTCGGTAGCTCATCCTGGGCCAACTATTGATCTTCTGATTGTCGTCTGCTACGTTTGCCCGTGTGCGTCACATGTTGCCCGGACATGGCCTGGAGCAGACGATAGAGACAACTGCCTTCCGTGAAACTCAGAACATACAGAAACAGAACATGAGGTGGATTACTTCGTTGGAAACATTTTTGATCGTCTCACTGAGTGAGTTAAATTTCATATTCTCGTCGTCATTGTAGTTAGGAGTAGTTATATGACACCGTTAATGGATAATTGTATGTGTATATATCTACAAAGTGTTCAGGATTATTTTATTGCACTGATTGACATTTCCTTGATACTATCAGAAAGAAAATGACATTTATCTTTTCTGAACTCTAGCGTCAATGGCAATGTGCCGTCGTCAAATGATAATCAGCACCGCTGAATACGTATGGGCGAATGATTTATGTTTCAGTGTGTGAGTGAGTGAGTATGGTTTTACTCCGTTTTTAGCAATATTCCAGCAATTTCACGGCGAGGGACACCAGATATGTCCTTCCCACATTACGCTTTGACCACAAGGTTACCACACCGCCCCTTCAATATTTAAGGCTTACCCTGCAATTCTGATGGTATAATCTAATTGTGGAAATTTTGCGTTGGACGGTGACGATAAATGCATCTTTCGACAGTGAAACAAAATCTCCATTTGACAAATCAGTTTTGGAAAGGAATGAGTTCATTGTGTATAGTATATGGCATGCCCCTGTTTTTAGAGACATTGTGACCGCGACGTTCAATCATTTTCGGTAGGGCGGGGCATGATTGACCGTTTCGCGAAAACCCGGTGTCGTTGCTGCAAGTTAAAATGATTCCTGAGCTTTGTCTCTTTCAATGTGACGACATCCTTGTGTTTGCTCCTGTGTCTTGCCATGGTAGATTGACGAATGCAACTACCAGCGGGTGTGGCGCTCTGATTTAACCATCAAATCACTTGAGGAAGAGAATTGATGAATGTCAACTTCTTATTATGAACACAACGTGTCGGAGTATATACTTACTCCTTTATCATTCCTCATAATAAAGAAGTTGACATCCATCAATGCTCTTCCTCATGTCTATCACTTCTAAATGTCTTTGAAAGATTTGATACACAATCACTGTGTATAATAACAATGTCAATGTCTAGGTTGTCTACTGTCAAGTAGCCCCCCTCCATCTCGCCAACTGTCTCATGACAACAGAACAAATTATAATGGAAGCTACCAATAAATATTATAAAAAAACTTTCTTTCATAATCAGTGTCATATTGCTGTGATTACATCACGTGACCTGGGAACCTGTAAATGCATGAACGAGGCAGCAATGCTGCCTCTGTGATAGGCTATTGCCAAAGACAAATCCAAGCCTGTCATCTGAACAGTGGCTTAAATCGTATTCTGGAGGACACTGGTGGTGTACAATGATTAAGGTTGGTCGCTATGGTAGTTTATTCTGCCATTTATTATTTATAAAATATCAGAAAGGTGAAGCTTGTGTTTGACGGCCATAAAATGCTTGACTATTGCGATCAATATAAAATATGATGACGTAGGAGGAGTGTACCATAGCCACAGAGAAAGGAAAATACTGGATGAATACTCTGTCTCCAGACCCCAGAGAGTCCAAATCAAATCTAGAATGATTTGGCAAGTCTAGATTGCCTCAGCTCTGAAATTATTTTATGGGACTAAATGTCAGTCCATGGGTGAATCAGGAGTAAGTGAGTGAGTGAGTGAGTGAGTGAGTGAGTGAGTGAGTGAGTGAGTTAGTATTTATGCAGCAATATTCCAAAAATATCAAATCGAGGGACACCAGAAATTGCCCGTAAAAGTAATATGGAAGTCATTTTGTTACCTACGAGGTCAAGTCAAGTCAAAGATATTTGTTGCATGCAAGGCCTCCGGCCCATATACGAGAGAGTTACAAATAAATAGTTTACATATTTGGATATATACTAATGTTTAACAATTTGTTTCTGAGGCAATTTGCATTTTTAACATATGTAGCCAGTTTTGATATGAGAGCACCATCTATTGAAGAACGAAGAGAAATAAAAGCAGGTACAGGATAATTTGACAGAAAGCGTTCTGGTGTAAACCTGTTTCTTAGATAATAATAAGGACATACAGAAGTAAAATGAATTTCTTTTGCTATAGCTGAATGACATAATGGGCTTAGCCCCTTCGACGTTTCAGTGGACATTTTTCTTCCTTCATTTATCATGAGATCTAACAATCCGAGCCTAAATTGAATAAATGGACGTCGAAGGGTTCTTGGTGTTTATGTAGATACGTTTTTTTCTGGTTGAATAAGACTCTTAAAAGTCCTATATAAGTCATACCTTGAACTGTTTTCTAGAGTGAAATGCCATTCCTGGTAAAACATATTTAGAGATTGTTCCAGAAATTGTTTCAAAAAGAGTTTAACATCACCCACTGTTTGCTTTAACCATACAAACCTGCAGCAGTGAGAAAAAAAGGTTTCTAATATGTGATGCCCATGTTACTTTGCCCATGTCGTCTAAATGTACACGCATATTATAAGCATTTCGGTGGGGATTCATGCATTCCAAGAATATTAAACCAGTATTTCAAGCATCTAATTTGGGAGTTGATGTATAACGGGTATCTGTCACACTCGTCAAAGACCATACAATTGGTAGTTGATGAACCAACGGATTTTACAGGCTGAAAGATGTAGCTTTTTTGAGACAATCGTATCGCTGAAATCCCCATACTTCTGTTCCATATAACAGGTTTGGTTGGATTAAGCCATCAAATAATTTAAAAAATATATTCGGTGTAAAAGCTCCTACTTTCTGCGAGACAGACATCACATTGTTTAAGGCCTTCTTTGCACGTGATGTTAAGACCGAGACACTTTTATGGAAGTTCATTGAATGGGTAAACATTACACCAAGACATGTATAATGGCTCAGAACATAAACACATTTACCATCGAAAAAACATCTTTCATTCAGTGCCACCTGACCCCCTCTTCTGAAAATGACAATATTTGTTTTATCATAGTTAACTGATAGTTTCCACTCTTTGGTGTAACATTCTAAAATGTTAAGTTGTTTTTGTAGTCGAACAACTGAATCTGATACTAAAAGTAATTTCATAATATAATTCACTGATAAAACATGAGAACAATATCAGGCTCAAGATACAGCCTTGTCGTAAGCCAACAGGACAGTCAAAGAAGTCGGTTACATCGTCACCACATCGTACACATGATTTGATATTTGAATACATACCTTTTAATATAGAGTACATTTTCCCCTGAAGACCAGTAGTTCTAAAACAGTACCATAGTTTATAACTATCAACGGAGTCAAAAGCTTTTTTTAAATCAACAAAGGCTACATACACTTTGTGTTTACGACGTGATAGACATTTTTGGATTATTGCATATAATGTGAATATATGATCTGACGTTGAGTACTTTTTTTCTAAAACCAGCTTGAGTTTCGGGAATCTTATCACGCATGTTAGCCCAATTCGTAATCCTGGAATTAAGTACAGATGTAAAATCTTTCCAAGAATACTCATTAAGGATATTCCCCAATAATTGTATGGGTTGTTTAAAACTCCTTTCTTGTGTTTTGGAATAATTACCGAAACTTCAGATGGATGATTTCGGGAATGGCGTCTCTGTAAACACCTCTAAGAATTGTCTCAGCTGCCACATTGAAAAGTGCATCGGTAACCCTTACTCGGCAATCTTTCCTACCCAGGGGGATCCCAGGAAAGAACATAGGTCCCGGTAACCTAAGCTTGTCGTAAGAGGCGGCAACATGGAACGGATGGTCATGTTCGGTCACTTGGTTGATTGCATATCAACTGGGCTTGCTGTCATATGGCTGGAATATTGCTAAGTGCGGCGTTATACAACCAATAAAGAAACAATTTCTTGATATATGTGTTGTTAGTTTGGTGATTAGCGCCAAATGATACCAACATCATGCTAAACAATACGCAGTTTTTAGAATTGTAATGAACCATTTTTTATGAGTTGTCATGGTTATGAGAGACTATTTCTAAAAATATAAAAAACAAGAATAGACGCATTAAGTGAATATGTAAAAGTAATATATTCTAAGTGCACAATAATTGAAAATACATGCTAATACATAATAGTAATGTAAATAGGGGGTTGGCGGGAGCAAGCTTCGGCAGTAAGAGTACATAAACCACGGGCAGGACAAGATAAACAAAGATTACATAAATCATTCGCCCCCTACTATACATGTAGTCTGTATACACTAAGTGAGAAGGTCCCTTGCTGGTGTATATTCTTTCTATAGTGAGTGAGTGAGTGAGTGAGTGAGTGAGTATGGTTTTACGCCGCTTTTAGCAATATTCCAGCAATATCACGGCGGGGTACACCAGAAATGGGCTTCACACTTTGTACCCATGTCGGGAATCGAACCCGGGTATTCAGCGTGATGAACTAACGCCTTAACCACTAGGCTACCCGACCGCCCCTATTCTTTCAATAACTTTATAGGACCAAAACCATGGAATGTCACACATTTTGCAGAAACGTTCAGGTTAGCTACAGAGTCTTGTGGTTGTATTTTATATCCAACATAGCCAACATTTATTTATTCATTTAAAACGAACACCGACTTGATCTTGCTGTTGTATATATGTAACGTGACGTGACGTGAAATGGGTTTAACGTCGCGTTCAAGATTATTGCACTTATATAGTGACATGTATGCATGTGTATGTGTGTGTGTGTGCGTGCTTGCGTGCGTGCGTGCGTGCGTGCCTGCGTGCGTGCGTGCGTGCGTGTGTGCATGCGTGCGTGAGTGCGCGCGTGTGTGTTGTACTAGTCCGGACTAATGCCGACTTTATAGTTCTTGTTAGGCGTTTCATTGGTCGGTCAAAGTCTGTGGAAGGTCGTCCTGTCGTGACCGTAATGGGATGTCCTCATGCAACGAGAACTAAGATCTTTTTTTAAAAGATTGTTAGGATCTGTTCTTCCCAGGAGACTCACCTGGGTCAGTGCCTGTGGTTTAATGTGGTTTGTAGCTCACCTTACTCGTCGTTAACCTTCACAAAATAGTGGCCCCTCAGTTTGAGCCAGTGCGACAGTCTGGGAACAGATTCTGCAGGTTCTCCAGAGTGATCGAGTGAGTGAGTGAGTATGGTTTTACGCCGCTTTTACG